CTTACACATGCACACACATTCACAAGGAACATACTGGACACATACAGCAAAGTTACACATATACCTGGTGAGGTAATTCAATTGGTAAATTCCCTGACTACAATGTCACAGGTTCAAATCCTGGCACATGGAACTCAGCCCTTCTAAGGTTGATAAAATGAGTCCTATCAATTGGGTAACAATAACATCTATTATTATTCAGCTGCAAAAGTGCTTTGAGTCCTATAAATACTAGTTATTATATAAATATTATTATATATACACACTCATACACTCAAATACAAAAAATAGCTACACACTGTACCACATGCAATTAATAAATGAAATATGAAACAGTTTATTCCCCACAGTCTTTGGTTACCTTTCCGCCTTTTCCAGTACACAATTTCTGTCTTTACCTTAATTCACTTACTTTCTGCCTTTTTCAGTAGACACCATAATTCACACATTTTCTGAAATACCAGTACAAACCTTAATTCACACACTTTCTGCCCTTACCAGTACACACCATAATTCACACAATTTCTGCCTTTCCCAGTACAAACCTTAATTCACACACTTTCTGCCCTTACCAGTAAACACCATAATTCACACAATTTCTGCCTTTCCCAGTACAAACCTTAATTCACACACTTTCTGCCCTTACCAGTAAACACCATAATTCACACAATTTCTGCCTTTACCAGTACAAACCTTAATTCACACACTTTCTGCCCTTACCAGTAAACACCATAATTCACACAATTGCTCTGTTTTGTGTGGATGTGTTTATTATTGTGATGTAAAATGATTGGTTACTGTATTTTGTGTCACGGTCTTCCACAAGGTCCCTGTGGGAGTAACCCTTGCTGGAAGATCATCATAAAAGGCCGAGTGTGGCCAGCATTAAAGCAGATCATTTTACCCCTTCATGAAGTCTCAATTGGGAGCTATAATCACTACTTTACTTTTATTCAGCTGGGATTTCAGGAGAAGCTGCAAGGATCTTTCCTACAGAGATAGCAGGATATGTTACAAGTACAAACCATAATTCACACATTTTCTGAAATACCAGTACAAACCTTAATTCACACACTTTCTGCCCTTACCAGTACACATCATAATTCATACATTTCTGCATTTACCGGTGCAAACCATAATTCACACACTTTCTGCATTTACTAGTGCAAACCATAATTCACACCTTAATTCATAAATTTTCTGCCTTTATCAGTAAAAACCTTCACACATACTGGTGGTAGTGCACAGACACAGAATGATATCAGCAGTCTTTGTTATTAATGTCTTCCTCTTCTCAATAGAGATAACTTGTTGTGGTCTCAAATATACTTTCGTGCCTAGGCATACTTTGGTTACTTTTCTG